ATTTTTAGAGAGATTTCAACGGCATTGAACTGAGCACAGCTTTTTCTAAGTTGGAAAGGTGTTTTTCCAAGTTTGCTTTGCTTAGTTAGGAAATAAAGACTGGGTGGAGGCGAAAGTAATCAGCCGCAAGTTAAATAACGCAAGTATCACAATGAATTAAGCGTTTAAGTCTCGAGAACATAAAAAATAACCAGCAACTAAAGAAGCTCTCGTTGGTTTTACAAATTCTCTTTATAAGGACCTGGGAAATGTATGGAGAACAGTAAGGAGAATATACATACTGATGTTAGGGTTTAAGAAGTTGGAAATAAGAACTCTTGATAACAAAATTGGAGATGAAAGTGGGCTAGGTCAGAGCAATTAAGTACAAATTAGCACAACGGAATATTGCAAAACACCAGAAATCAATCGGTTCAGTACGAAAACAGTTATAGAAACTCCTTGTCGGCACATTTTCAAATGGGAAAACAACCTTGGAGTAAAGAGTTGTCGGAGGCGAAGGTTTCCTGGGTAGTGTTGATTTTCATTTCCAAGTAAGGTGTTGTTCTCAAGTAAAATTAAGGATGAAAAACAAAGCGTAAACATCAAAGGAAAACTAAGACTTTAAAAACAGTATTTTTCACAGAACAAGGAGCAAATCACTTTGAGAACAGTCCTCAAATAATCCGTTGATTTTTCAGTAATTAGGAAGTTAATTAATATCTCCAAATAAGGTATGGTTCAGGAAACTAACGAAACTAGACAAACAACATTGATATGTAAACAGCCGTCCTTATATGCAGATGAATTTAGCCCAGGAGGGGCAAGAAAAGTTGAAAACAACACAAAGACAGCTTCAAAATTCACATCAGTTGGAAAACAACGCTCGATTACAATTTTGAATTGAACTATTAAAATAGAAAAAGTCAAAAACCTGAAAGTGGAATTTATATCTAATGTACTTCTATGTCCATAAAAATTTAGTGTGGATTTGTTAAGGTTTAGTGTTTGGACTGATTGGCGATTATCAATTTTTTGAACATGCGGAAATAAAGTTAAAGTTGCGGTTCGTTGCGGCGATTCATAAAGGGCCTGTTAGACAGGGCCTACTTGTGGATGGTTGGCTTTCAAAACTTTCCAGGGTGCGACCTTTTCTTTGAATCTGAAAGTTCTTTAAATCTATTTTAGAAAGATATCAACAGCACTCAACTGAGCATAGCTTTTTTCGAAATTTGGGTGGAGGCGAAAGTAATCAGCCGCAAGTTAAATGACGCAGTTATCGCAATTAATCGAATGCTTTAGTCTCGAGAATATAGGAAATAACTAGCAACTAAAGAAGCTCTCGTTGGTTTTACAAATTCTTCATGTTAGAACCTAAGAAATGTGTAGAGAACAGTATGGAGGATACGCATGATGATGTTGGGGTTTAAAGGGTCAAGAAGGCAGAAATAAGAACTTTTGATAAAGACGTTAGCAATGAAAACAAAATTTGGTAAGGTTAGTGAGGATTTTGTAAGGTTAAGGGTTAGGACTGATTGAGGATTAGGGATTGGCGAATTTTTGTGCTGCGGAATTACATTTTAAAATTGCGGTCCATTGTGGCTTAGAACTTTCCATGCTGCTTAACATTAAAAAGTAAATAAACGTAGTTTGCTTCAATTGAATAGTTTAATTGTGTAGTTCGCTTCAATAAACGAAGTTCACTTTTATTGATTTTGCCGTTTCTTAGTCGCTTTTGAAGTGAAGAATTATATTTGAATCATCGAAGGCACGGACGGGCTTACAGACGGATGTTACGTAGTTCTGATTCACGATTTTTCTGTATACTTTAAGCTCAGTCCATTTTTAAGTCTATAATCATGATCGCATTGAGGAATGGGAGACTGGGAGCTGCATTGGTATGGCGACCAACAAACTTTTGTGATCGGGAGTTCTCCTCAGAGCTCTTTGCCTCCTCAATCGACCGATAAACCCATTACCATCGTTAGCTCTAATCAGAGCTCATGGTCTCCCCGATCCACCAACAAACTTTTGCGACCGGGAGCTCTTATTAGAGCTCACTGACTCCCCGATCGAGCAGGAAACTTCTTGCGATCGGACTCCCGATCAGTAAACAACCTATACTTTACGACATAATCCGACCCTGTGAAAAAACTTCACATGGAGTAAAATGCTACTGTTAGTCAATTTTCTTCTTAATTTCACGTACTTTGACTTTTTCTAATATGATCCTTTTCTCATAGTTCAATGTATTTTCCCCTTTTCGGATAGCAGAAACCGAAAGATATCTTTGGTTAAGGTCTATGTTTTAAAACTTCGAGAAATTTTTATTTAAAATCTTCAAGCGCAATAATATTCGAATATTACAGTTACACGAAGACAGGAGTATAGAGAAATTTAAACGGATTACTTTCACTTTGAAAAACCGTACTTCTTTATTCTTGCAAATCAAAAACGTCTTGCAGGCTCGTGAGCGTCATAGAAAAAGTACAACATTGAATTTGACTTTAGATATAGAGTATAGACTTGTCCGCCGACGACACTCTCAGCTACGTCATTACTTCGCCTGGGTTAACAAGCCATTCCTCTTCAGTTCTCTTAACTGTTCATTTTATTTTGTAACTCGATGTGCTTGAACAATAGCTCGTAGAAATCCAGAGGTTTGAAAATATCCAGGTACAGGGAGTACTGTTTTTCAGCCGTCAGTGTAGACATAGCCTCTTGCACATCGCTAGGAAGGTACTTAAATATCTCTTCCGGTATTGTCATCTCGGGATCTGATTGTCCGTATTTCCGCGTTCTCTTTGGGCGTTTCTTCTCCATAGACGTAGAAAATGTATGTTTTACGGTTGCACTCATTTTCCACAGCTTCGGTAAAATATTGAAGTGTTGGTTCGAAATGTCTCGTAATCCAGTTCATAAAGTTGGCAAAGGATATGGAGTACTGGTTATTTATGTTCTTATTACTAACACCCACGTACCAATCAAAAACATCGAAGCACACGGGCGTGGCTTAGAGTTGTTGCGCTCTGACGTCTCTCGAAACGTCAGCTTGTAAAATCTTTAGGGTGGCTAATTTACGTAATTAACTCGGCTGATAATACTAAATTACCCTGTTAAAATCTCTCACCGACGCAGCACCACAATTTCTTCAGAAACGTGACCCCTTTATCAATTCATAAAGGGACCTGTTAGAAAGGGCTTACGCGTGGATGGTTGGCTTTCAAAACTTTTCCTGTTGCGACTTTTTTTTTTATCTCAAAGTTGTTTAAATGTATTTTTAGAGAGATATCAAGAGCATTCCACTGAGCACAGCTTTTTTTAAATTGGGAAGGGTTTAGCTCGAAATAAGGACTGGGTGCAGGCGAAAGTAATCAGGCGCAAGTTATCACAATGAATCAAATGCTTCAGCTCTTGATGGTTTTACAAACTCTCCTTGTTAGAACCTAGGAAATGTATGGAGAATATGCATAATGTGGTTAAGGTTTAAATGGGAAGAAGGCGAAAATAAGAACTCTTGATAAAGACGTAAACAATGAGAGCAAAATATGAAATAAAAATGGTCGAAGGTCGAAGTAATTAAGTACAAATTAATGACAGACGTAGTTAGCACAACAGAACGCTGCAAAACACCACAAATTAATCGAAAACAGTCATGGGAACTCCCTCTAAGCACATTTTCAAATTGGAAAACAACCGTAAAGTAAAGAGTGGGCGGAGGCGCAAGGTTCTTGGGTGAGGTTGGTTTTTATTTTCAAGTAAGGTATTGTTCCAAAATGAAATTAGAGATGAAAAACAAAGCGTAAACTTCAAAGGAAAAGCAAGAGTTGAAAAAAAATTTTTTTTAGAACAGGGAGTAAATTTCTCTTGAAAACAGTTCTAAAATAATCCGCTAATTTCTCAATAATCAGGAAGTTAATTAATATCTCCAAATAAGGTATGGTTCAGGAAACTAACGAAACAAGACAAACAACACTGATATGTAAACAGCCGTCCTTATATGCAGATGAATTTAGCCCAGGAGGGGCAAGAAAAGTTGAAAACAACACAAAGACAGCTTCAAAATTCACATCAGTTGGAAAACAACGTTCGATTACAATTTTGAATTTAACTATTCAAATAGAGAAAGTGAAAAGCCTGAAGTTATAAAATTTATGTCTAATATACTTCCATGTGCATGGGAATTTAGTGGGGATTCGCTTAAGTTTAGGATCGGGACTGATCGAGAATATTTTGGGCTGCGGAAATACATTTAAAATTGCGGTTCAGTGTGGCTTATTGTTTTTCGCCTTGTCACTAGGCTGGGGTTTTTTCTTTGTTCTGTGCTCTTTTTAGAGAGATATTAAAAGTATTTAACTGAACGTAGCTTTTTTCCAAACTGGGAAGGGTTTGCTTCAAGTTTGCTTCGCTTGGTTGTAGCTGGAAAGTTAATTGAATCAACGGAAAATCTTCAGTTAAACTACAATTCAAGGTCATATAGAATTGTCAGAAACATGTTTTGAAAGCTTCAATCAAATCAAGCATTTATTTTAATGTCAATTTACTCGGCGGTAAATCCATTCAAGTGTAGAAAGTTATTTGAATCAAGTAATTTTTTTTCTGTAAACCGTTGTTGATATACAAATAGAATTATCAAAACCAATTTGGGAAGGTCGTAGTTCAAGTAGCAATTGCATTTTGTTTCCCTCTGCTATGTAAAGTTGGCTTTAATTGATTTTGCCGTTTGTTTATCGCTTTTGAAGTGAAAAATTGTATTTGAATCATCGAAGGCACAGACTGGCTTACAGACGGACGTGCGTTATGACGTCACCGCTAAATTTTTTTGGCTAACTCTTCTTAGTTCTGGGCCAACGCTGTGCGCGCACTTCTTGCGTCGCGAGAGCTTCGCTACTCACGATCGATTATCATCTTAGACACCATTTTATGGAAAACGAGTGTTACCCGTTAAACCATCTGGACGGGTTTTGTGAGTACTGTTACGTTGTTCTGATTCACGTTTTGTTTTATCTGTATACTTTTAGCTCAGTCCATTTGTAAGACTATGAGCATGAACGCGTTGAGGAATGGGAGACTGGGAGCTGCATTGGCTTGGTGCCTTAGATCTAAGGTAAGGGCAAACAGTTAGATGTAAAAGTCTGCTAATAAATGAAACTTATACAGGCTGCCTCTTATATTCTTACAAGGGCCTTAGGTTTAAATAAATTAATGGACCTCGAGATTTATCAGTTAGTGGATTTTTTGAAGTTAAAGTATTGTGTCTTTCGCCGTCTTGTCTCTTTCCAAAGAGGTTGGCTAGATTTAGTATACTGTTTTTCATAAAAGGAAAATGCTGAACTCTGATCGAATAACCCCGACACAATTCCATCCAACAATTATCGATCGAAAGAGTCACTTCATTAAACAATTGCAGCAGTTTAGAGTTATGTTGGTGAAAGAACGAGAAATATGTGGCACTTTCTTTAAGTCTCTCACAGCTGTTTCGAGTTGAGAGTCAACTACTTGCTTATTCCTCACAGGGAGGGTTACCTTACCCTGGCGCTAAACCTATACCTATCTATGTTTAAAGGATGTGTCGGAAGGTTCGCGCAGGGTTCTTAGGGATCTATTCCCCCTACTCTCTCATTTGTCAACTCAGGCAATTCGGTGTTACATCACACTTGAAATTTTCCTTAATACTCACCACTTGCCTGATTGGTATTATATTGATATCGTCACCGTAGAAACTGTTTGCTTGGTAGTCCCCAGTCTCAGCACACCAGGCTGCGACCGTTTTAATCACCATGGGTGGTGCATGGCCATAGTAAATCTTTGCGATAACATTTACAGCAACTCTTAAACTTAACCTGTGTGCCACGGCCATGCAGCAGGCCTTACTGTTATTACTTATTATTATTTGGTACGTAAGGTAGTTCCGAGGTCAATCCAAGCGTTTTGATTGTTCTTACTTGGTCAGGATTTTACCATACGCGCAGAAACGGTCATAAGCCGTGTATAGTTGTTCGCGAAAACCAGTCAATCAAAAATTATCAAGTTTGGTCCAAGTGCCAAGTGCCAAGTAACTAACCTCGTTTGCTAGAGCTGCACAGCGGAATATTGGCCCTCGATCGTTTTTATGCGGACGTCGCTGCGCTCGGTCCGTACTGCCACGACCTCGGGCTTATATTCCCCAGTGCGGCCCTCACGCTTGGTTAGTAAGAAGTTAGTATTTGTGGTCTATAGTCGAGGAGAAGAATCTCAAAAAAGGCACTACGCATCACCCCCGTTACACAAAAGGTTTGACAAGGGATTGCTGCACACTGATTTTTAAGGGGGTGGGGGTACATTTGGAAGTATCAATATTTATGGTTCAGGAACGGTTTTCGCAATATCTCCAAAACTACTCAACCAAGTGTTAAAATCGTTTTTTAACTTTTGCAGTCATTAAATGTGGGATAAATGCGGTCGGTTGAACTGTCGCAGTGGTTGCTAAGGAAACCAAGATGAACTTGGTTTTATAAAATATAATAAAAACTGCCTTTTAAATTATTATTTCGTATCGATTTGCAATGAAAGAGAACGATCACAGCTCATAAACTCCCCGATCGACCAACAAACTTTTGTGACCGGAAGCTCTTATGAGAGCTCATTGACTCCCCAATCGACCAACAAACCTCTTGCTATCGGGAGCTCTTATTAGAGCTCATTGACTCCCCGACTGACCATCAAACCTCTTGCGATCGGGAACTCTTATAAGAGCTCATTGACTCCCCAGTTGACCATCAAACCTCTTGCGATCGGGAGCTCATTTCAGAGCTCATGAACTCCCTGATCGACCAACAAACGTATTGTTATCGGGAGCTCTTATCGGAGTTCATGGACTCTCCGATCGGCTAACAAACTTTTGTGATCGGGAGCTCTTATCAGAGCTCATGGACTCCCCGATCGACCAACAAAACTTTTGTGATCGGGAGCTCTCATCAGAGCTCATTGATTCCCAAATCGACCAACAAACTTCTCGCGATCGGGAGCTCTTATCAGATCTCATGGGCTCCGTAATCGATCCTCAAACTTTTGTATTCAGGAGATCTTATCGGAGCTCATTGACTCCCCGTTCGACCAACAAACGTCTTACGATCGAGAGCTCTTATTAGAGCTTATTGACAGCCCGATCGACCAGCAAACTTCTTGTGATCGGCAGCTATTATCAGACTTCACTGACTCCCCCATCGACCAATAAACTTTTGTTATCGGGAGCTCTTATTAGAGCTCATTGCCTCTCTAATCGACCGACAAACCTATCGCGATCGGGAGCTCTTATCAGAGCTCATTGACTCCCCTGTTGAGCATAAAACATTTGCGATTGAGAGCTCTTATCGGAGCTCATTTACTCCCCGACCGACCAAAGAACTTTTGAGTCGGGAGCTCTTCTCAGAGTTCATTGATTTCCCGATCGACCAACAAACTTTTGCGATCGGGAGCTGTTATTAGAGCTCACTGACTCCCAATCAAGCACCAAACTTGTGTGATCGGGAGCTCTTATCAGAGCTCAATGACTACCCGATCGACCGACAAACTTTTGCAATCGGCAGCTGTTGTTGTCGGGAGCTGTTATAAGAGCTCATCTACTACCCAAACGACCCGCAAACTTCTTGTGATCAGGAGCTGTTAGCAGAGCTCGTTGACTCCTCAACTGACCAATAAGCTACTTGTCAGTGCTCATTGACTCCCTCATCGACAACAACCTGCAATCGGGAGCTGAATTTCTTTTGCCTTTGCCTATAAAGCAAGATTAATGGTAAGGTATTCTTGGAGTGAACAACGTCTGTCATTTATTGTTTTCAGCATTTTCGACTATTTCATAAAATCACGTTTGTTCTTGGTTTTCTCAGCAGTTTTTTCCACGGAAACGGTTAACCAACCAACCAAAATTATCCCACATTAAGTAACTACCAATGTTACATCACTCCTCCAAATTTTATTTTATTTGGTTGAGCAGTTCCAGATGTATTGCAGTAAAGTTCCTGAAAACATAAATATTGGCACTTCCAAAAGTACTTCCCTCCCCCAAACAGCAAGTCACTAACCTCACAATTAGTGACTACAACTAGCATCGTGATGATCTCTGGGTATAAGGCTATCCGAATCTGATGTCAAACCTTTTGTGTAGTGGGATGCTGCGAGGTTGTCTTTCTCTGGCGCCTCCTCCTCGGCTACTAAAGTTAAAGTGAGTACTTGTCTGCGTATAAAGTATCGAGGATGTTTCCTGAACTTTCATAAACGACTGCGATAGCTGGTTATTGGTTTACTTTGTCATGTGATCTTGCGCGAAATGTCGTGGCCATTATTTTATTCCTGGTTAGATTATACAATTTAGGTTGTCAAATGGAGATTTTGAAAGAAGATAAGCTCGGAGCTGGAGTAGACAGGCTAGAATATGTCTAATTTGCGTAACTGGCGGGTTCGGCGGCTGTTTTCACGGCTCCGCTGCTTGACGCTTCAAAGCGTAGAAAAAATCCAATGGCTACACAGACAAGAAGATACCAAAAGCGATCTGAACAGGGGTAATTAGGGTTTAAATTGATTGACACGGATTACAGATTCACTCCGATCTCGTTATGTAAACAATTCACATTATCAGCTTCATAAAACCAAATTATTTTGCACTACCACCACTATCCTAGTTTCCTGAGAACCTTATCCCTTTTATTCGCGGATTACTAATGAAAAACTTGAAATGCTTCTGCAAGCTCTTTCATGAGCACAACGTAAGAGCAATTTCCTCCATCTGACCTATGACACGAACCTTGACTGTAATAATCTGGGTAAATCGTAAACGCACCAGTTTGTTAAATGCTAACTCTCTTACGTTGTTTTTTTTTGTGTTTAGGACTCTACATTTGCAGCTTTTATTTCAGAAAGGTATGAATAATTCTTCACGGTGTTGGTTATCTCTTTTGTTAAATTGGAGTGTAGCATGGAGAATGATTATGCATGACTTTTCGACCTTAGGAGACCTTCGAGCCAATTATTCTGGTACGATTTTCGCTTACCATCATCGGATGTGATCTAATTAGGACACAACTGCGATAAGAATCGTGTCGTCTAAATCGTTATTAAGGTGGCTGGAAACAGTTTTCAGAAACGGCTACTGACTATATTCAAAGCGCTCAAAACCAAACTTTCCCCTTTCGCAATGGGACCAATTTCACGCATGTGTTGACCAAAGGATTGAAGTTTCAAAAAGTGGGCGTGGCATAACAATCGCAGTTACTATTGTTATGCCAACGTTATGGAGAAGTCCCGTTAAACAGTATTTGGGAACAGTCTCGAAAATTCCACGGTAGATTATCCCCAAACTTCAGAATTTTCCCATTTTAAGATAGGGCTTCGCAGCTGAGTGAATTTAAACAAATGAAATCTAGCTGTTTCATAATTACTATGCCGCTAAGGTTACATTTGATTTAACTGCTGTGACATGATACTGTTTACGAAAATAACTCTAAATCACGTTCTATCTAATAGATTATAATTTTTATTCAAAGGGGGCGCAAATAAACATGAAAATGGCGACCATACGTTAAACGCAGTCCCGAGCGCAGTTCAGTGACATTTTTCCTTCTGAAATAGCCTTGGAGACCAGGCTCTGGAGCATACCATTACCAAAGATGCCTAGATATTATCATTGCCACTTCTTCTGCTCAAGGCAGATTCCAATTTGAGCTTTTGTATCTTGAGAAACATTTCTGTAGAAAATTGAATGTTTTAGTCCGTTGGAGCGCTTTTTGATCGAATGCCGAAAAACCAAAACCAGGTAATTTCATTTGCCAATCAGATAAAAGGAAATTCACCAGCGGCCAATGAAAACTCAGAGTAAAAACAAGCGAAATTAACTAAAAAAACGCAGGAAAACGCGAGTGGCCAGTTGCGATAGGTTTTAGTTGTGAATCTGATTGGTTGAGAAACTGGCACGAGGTTTTTGGACCAATCATAAAACAAAATAAAACAAAACCGAAGCAATCCTATATTATTTTCGATGCTCAATTTCAAATTGTCCTATTCTGTATCGTAAAACATACCTTTCTTTCAGTCTGAAGTCTCGGTTTTAACTTCAACCATGGTGGCCAGGAACAATTTTGAGTTACCTTGAGTTATCCCTTACATTTGCACTTGAGTTTGTATTGCCTTAGGTCACGCCTGTGAAATGCTATGTAGGCGTGGCAAAATGAAACTTTTTCAATTTCTTGTGTCGAAGCTAGAGTTTTCGTTGGTTGGGATTTGCGTTAGGGTTGCTCTTACGTGTGTTTCCTCGCCGACAAACCTGCACCTTCAGGCGGTGAGTGGTGCGAAGATTTTATTTTTAAATTAGTTAATTAAATCTAAGTGATCTGTCGTTTTCTCAATTTGACAGGTTTCTCACAGAGTATTGTAAGAGCGGGGGATTTTCAAATTTGGACCTGATCGACAATCTTGGATCCGCCATGCTCTTAAGCGATCGACTTACGTTTCTTGGTAAGTCAAGACTGAAAAGTTTTTTCGGATATGCATCGATAAAGCAGCGATGACTGAACGAATATAACTATCGAGGTTTTTCGTTGATTCTACCTAGAGGAATGACGTCTACTTTGTTCATGCTGTCAGTTGATTCACGAAGACTACATTTTCAATTGAAACTGTTGTTTGCCGCGTAGACATTCAGGCTTGAGAGTAAGGGCATTCTTTTGGAGGACGAAATCAAATGGAAATCAGTTCCTGCCCAAACACTATTTTCTGCGGTATCTTGAGTTTAGGGTGCTTATTGTTATCATCTCTTCTTTGCTTTGCCATTTTGTTCCCCTAATTTTCATTTTCTTTTTTCATGCAGGGAAATATCGCGAGTTCCATAAAATGTACGAGGAAGGCAAGTTTCATGAAGCTGCCAATTTGCTGATATCTTTGCTGACATCAAAGCTCGCTCCACAAAGGTGAATCAAATACTGACTCTTCTTAGTCTTGACCTCCAGCGTCTTGTCAACTTAAACGATAGCAGAATGCGTTTTGCAAACGCAATTACAAGAGGAACTAACTTGATAAGAAACATTTTATTACACCAACTACACTATATTTTTATTTGCAATCAATCTTTGTAGTTTTCACGACTGTTACTCAGTGATTGCACGCTTCAACTCTTTTGACTTCCGTCCGGCTCATGATTTGCTCGTGTTCAGCTTGGCCCAGCTCGTAGTCGACTCATCTTCGGTTCGCATTCGGTTCTTGCACAGCATGTTCTCGGCCCATGTACGGCGCCGATTCATACAGTGTTTGGCTAGTATTCGGATCATGTTCAGCTCGTATCGGGCTCATACTCGGCTCAAATTCGGGCCTTGCTCGACTTATGTCCAGCTAATACTCAGCTTGTAAACGGCATATGCTTGGCTCGTTCTCAGCTAGAACTTGACTTGTGTCCGTCTCTCGTGAGGCTTCGAGAGAAGGGCCTGGGAAGTCTCTCAGTTTGGGCATTGTTTCATCTGTTTTAATACTGCTACTGTTGTCATCTATGTTTCGTCGTTTCGCCTTACACGGTTTGCTTAATGGCGAATTTGCTTAACTGTTTTTTTTAAGTAAATCCATGTAGGCTATCAAAGGGTGACGCTCTGAAAGAGTGATTGACCTACCCTGTCGAAGATTACTGAAAAGTGGCAGTTTGTGGGGGCATCTCATTAATGATGTCAATTGAAATGAGTTAACATGTACCAAAAGCGAGCATTATGTAGCTGTTATAAAGAGGTGACCATATTAACTTAGATCTCTTTAACCCTTTTACTCTCGCGATCAGACATGTTATTCTCTTTTCTTAGTGCTATACATTCTTTTGGGAAATAGTTAAGAGAATTCACCTTGTCGTTGATGAGATTTTCTCTGCATCGTATCTAGCTGGCCTCGGTTGTTCAAAGATTGGAGAACGCTATCCACTGGAAAAATCCCTTTCCGGTGGATAGCGCAAGATCTTTTGTTAACACTTATCCTCTGGATAGTGATTCATACGTCGGATAGCGTTATCTGCCCTTTGAACAACTTGGTCCTGTTCTTGAAGCTCTGACCCTAGCGTTGTGCGTTCTTTATATATGTAGCAGTAGCAATTTTGTAGAATGATCTTATCACCCATCCCTCAAGTCTCTTCGATCCATCTTCACCGCGCCCTTGGGAAAGAAGTAGGTATCCTGTTATCACAAACCAAAAGATGGGGGTTAGGAAAGAGATTAATGCTTTTTTTTATTTTACGCGATATTGTATTGTCTCGAAGCTGACAAGTCCACATCATAACTTAAACAACCCCACGCATCTAGACAGAAATCAAATCTGCACACTCGACTTAAGTCACCCACCTAGAAGGATATCTGGCAAAGTCTTATAAATCCAATTTAAACTAAAGCGGTGGAAACAATACATTTGTCTAATTTTAGAGTGGGTGTGATCCGTTTTTCAGTTTTAATTGATTTTGGCTGTTTCATCTTTCCAGCGGTATGATCAAGTAACTCCCACTCTATGCCCTTCATTCGGAAATGTCTGAGAATTTCAACATTTTTCTTTCTAACTTTATCTAGCATGGCTAAAAATAAACGGGAAGGCGACATTGGGGCTCGTCAAAATACGGAGCAACTCGTAACAATACTCACAGATGCCTCACACCAAAACGTCTTTTAAGATATGTATCTTTTTTCCCTTCAATTTGGCAAAAGTTTTTGGGTGCTAAAAAGTAAAGCAAGAGTTTTGGAGTTAGCTCCTTCAATGGCGGTTTGTGTCCCTGACTAACAACTTTGGTTTGATTTTTTCCACGATATTTCCGACGAAAGAAAAACATCTGTAAATTCCACACATCGATTGCCTGTTTCGTCTGAGATGCACCTTGATAAGCCAAAGGTCCCTTTTTTTCCTTTTTAATTTTATATTGAAGAAATGTAAAATGGTTTCCGTGTTTACATAGCCTGATGTAAACACGCGGGACGTTGGGAGAACACGAGATAAGCGTAGGAAACCACGACGCGAAGCAGAGTGGTTTCCAGCTTATCGAGTGTTCTCCAACCTCCTAAGTGTTTACATCAGGCTATGTAAACACGGAAACCATTCTACATTTCTTTTATAAAATAACTAATGAAAGAAGAACGAAAACCGTGTTTACATACGCTCATGTAAAATGGTTTTATGGCCAATCAGAGCGCGCGTACTATTTGAATTATTTTATAATTTATATTTATAGATCGCACTACCAAGCCGGCATTGCATACTTTACTTTTACATTTTGGGTTTTTAAACTTTAAGTTGTAAAATTAACACAACTGGGTTACCTTGAAGCTTTGGTTTCTAGATAACGGAACTGCTCTTTAGTCTTGTTATCGAAGAAAACAAAAAATGAAAATGAATAAACAAATGAAACTTTAAGAAAAGAAATTGGATGAGATAATCTTGTCAGTCACCTTGACCTCGTTAAGTCAACAATTTGAGACAAGGTTTTGTTTCTCTTCGTCTCGTTTTTAGACTGATTTGGAAAGTAAAAATAAACTTTGCAATGTTTTCGATAAGGGTGGCATTCAAAGACCTTCTGAACTGTCCTTATGCTCTTAGAGTTGACCTTGGGCAGAATAAGCTTTCGAAGGGCTAAGGAATGAGAAAGAGTAGGTAAGAGGACGTCAAAGAATAAAGTCATTCAGATGAGCCAGGTTTGATGAGGTCAAGCTAACGGTATTTTAGGAAATTCTTGTACAGTCGAACCTGTATTAAGTGGCACCGTATTAAGCAGTCACCCTGTATTAAGCGGTCGGTTGTCAAAGTACCGAATTTTTCCCCCTTAGTTACCGCACTTTTTAACTTCTTCGATTTGATCCATGTTTATCTCCCGAGCTTCGTTTAGCAAGTTTCTGTTAATAATGGGATAAAATGACCTGTATTGGGCGGTCAACCTGTATGAAGCAGGCACCCCGCCATTCCTCGTGGGTGACCGCCTAGTACAGGCTCGACTGTAATTCTTGTTGACCCTTGCACTCCTAAGATCTAAATATGATATCTCTGCACTGTTTCCAATTCATTTTTGACACATGTGACTCTGAGAATTTAGCGCTGAATCAAACTCTTGTCAACAAGGACTTGTCAGCACCTTTCAGTCCGCCTTGAAATGTATAGATATTGAAAAGAGAGATTCCGTTGTGGTCACATCTGAGAGTGACTGGGTTAATTAGGAGATCTTAACTTGAAGGGATGAAAAATAAAACAGGTTTCGATTTTGCCGTATGAGTATGCAAGACGCAGGGCTGCCCACAAGTTTGATAGTGCCCACAAGTTTGATAGTGACTTTATAGGGAGAAGTTGGAACTATTCAGTTTCACCTTCCTTTGAATTATTATAACAGTCACATGTGAAGCATGTCTTCATATCCTTCTCTTTAACCATCGCGTTAACGTTCAATCGCTTTTTTGGCAATTTTCCTACTCTTCACGTAGTTATTAGATGAGGTACTGCGGCGTTGGCCAAATTATTTGTGCAAGACAAGAGCAGCGCTTGAGGAGAAAATGTTGACAAAGTGACACTCCCATGATCAATTTTTCAATCAATGCCATTTATACTTCCTTGCTTTATGTTTCCAAAGCTGTCAACTCGACCATCCCCTCTATGTTCCGAGTCCAAGAATGAATCAGAAAAGAAGGAACTATAGTCACTTCGAAATAAAATCGTTGTTTTGGAGGAAAATAATTTACTCAAGCTGTACAAGGCAAAGTTGTACTCCACAATAGCATGTATTTAGCTAAATTCTCTAAGTAAGCGCTGCATTGCTTGCTGTAACATACTTTCTAGCGCGGCGCTTATTGCAATTTTTGCTCTCGCATGTGGTGCTTATTCGGAGGGTGGCATTTAATCGAGTGAATATGGTATTCTATCTTGCTCCGGGGTTAATTCAGACTTTCTGTTTATCTTGCGACGCTTACTTTGTGTATGTAACAAGTTCTAATTGTGAGTCAAATTTGTACGAGAGGCCGTTTCAAGTGCTTTGTAGGTGATCGCACCCAATTTTAATACAACTTAGTCCAATTCTTGCCCAAGGCTCCTGTTGCCATCGTGTCTAAGGAATTCCAACTTTCCTTTACGTAAAGGAAGGCCTACAGGCATTGTATTGAACCTCAAAATTTAAAGGTAAATACAGCAAGTGCAAAACAAGTTAATCTATATCAAGTGTGCTGTTTGTCCCATGCTTTAGCGTCGGCGAACGTGCGATGGTACACGAACATAGCTGTTGAGGGCGTAATTCTTTTAAGACTTTTCCCCGTTCAGGAAAACTCAGTTTTTACTGACGTTAGCCGGTTCCGTAATCATCTAAAATTAATTTACGTTTTTAGAACAGGGTCACTTCTGTTGTCGATTCGTGACGGCAAAAATGCACCGTAATGGCTCTGTTTGCCGCAGTTATAAATATTCGGCCCTCGAATCACGACATCTCCGCAAATATTTTCCTCCAACTCTTCTTTGTGTGCAACCGCAGCGTCACGAAATACCTCTGTCTTTGAAACTCGATGATTTTTTTGCCATGAAGGAACTCTTCCCTGGTCGAATTTTTACGCCATTGAGAGTATTATTTCCTTGAGGGAACTCATTGGAAGAAAAATATTAGTTAGGAACATAAAATGAGGACCCGTGACCTCCGTTTGCCCGCCTCTTTGAAGACAATTAAAACTGACATCCTTATTTCAATGATATCTTGAGAGTATTAGTTCTTAGAGCGGTGTTTTATGGCGGCATTTGCTTTGTGGAACCTTGCACGCAAACGGAAAGAGTGTGAAGCCACCGGTATACGATAACACTTCTTTCTTGGCGAACATTTTGTCTGATAAAAATTGATGATAGTAATCAGAAGCTTCGGGTCATTTAGACAAGACAAATTGTGGAATTGAGAACTCAGCATTCGATCCTAGGACTCCGTGACTGCCCTTTAGTATGTTCGAATCTTACAGTGTATGGTTTACAATGATATTGCTGCTTTCCCTGAAAGAAAACAAAGGCTCAAGCAAACGCGACGTAAATTAAATATATTGCTCTTGGACCTGCGCCGGATAGTTTTGTGGTATCACGGGAAGTAATTACAGATTATTGCTGTGGCAAATGGGCTTGAGTGGGTAGTGTAGACTCGAACAAACGCCCAAAAGTCTCCGGTGTTTATTCAATACGCTTTAAGCGAGTTATGTGGGTTTGGTCGTTCTGCAAAAATGAAAAGAAGGGTATTAGGGTGGGTGCGATACTCGTAAGGGCAGGTCTTTTAATTAGAAGGCCAGCCTTGAGTTTGCTTTATAATTCATTTGACTTTATATTATGGCCCAGGAATTTTCTTTATTTCTCTCGAAATTCAGTTGTAATGTAACCTCCTGTATTCATTTCTTTTTCAAGAAAAGTACTTCATCATTTCTTTTCCATGTTTTTATTCAGGCACATTAAGAGTAAAATATAAGAAAAAGTTTATGAACCATTTCTCTTTCAAAGTTTTATCCTGATATCGTAAAAAAAGGGTGCGGATGTTTATCGGGGTGGAGTACAATAATAATGAAGAATTTTCAGGCCTTCATCTCACTCGGCCGGGTTTGGGATTGGTTGATTTTCAACAGCTCTGATTGGCCTATTCTAACTTCGTTGTTTTTGTGATGTGTTTCCTCGACGGTCTGCTGTCCCACGGCCTCCACGCTGACGGTGTTTCGATGATGTCCTCAATGAAATGCCGTACATACTCTGCAGTTTTTCATTAAAGATCATATTACTTCTTTCGAAAGCCAACAGTTTCCGCAGTTTTTGGCGTTCTCGAGGTCTACAGATTTGTGGACTCGTTGAAAAGGGAAAGACTGAAATTGTAGATGCTAGTGACACTTATTCACTGACATCCATTGCTTCTTTGCTGTGACTTTCAGGTTGTGGCTGACGCTGCTAACGGATACCTTACCTCTCCTGGAACATAAAGAGGTAAATTTTCGGAAATTGCTCTGCTCAACCAGGAGACTATGAACAGTTTAGGTTCTCTTGGTTCAAATCAAACTATAGGCACGTTCTCCAAATAGTTTGCATAGTTCTGGGAATTTTGCCACGACGGAAAGAAATGTATTTTTAGATCGCACCCTATGCACCCTCACCTTGGGAATTACTTTTTTCACTGTGCACCCACCCCGTCAGGACAGAGGAGTTTTCCTGTAAAACTTGAAGTAGTTCTCAAAAATTTAAATTGAAACACCGAGAGATATCATCATCATGTGAACGAGATCGCGATCAATGCGCAAATTTAACTTCTGCAAAGTTTTTCGTTTTACTTTGTAAACCACGCTCAGTTTTCAGTCCCGGTAGCGAAGTCATAGCGACAGCTCCTCTCATTCTTGTCGTTACCTGATTGTCACGCAACCTTTTTTTCAGTTTGATGACCATAGCATCGCGTGACACTACTGCATTCGAGTGGGGTGGATGGTTAAGGGAAATATCACTTTTGACAAAATACTCATTTGCCCTTTATTTCTTAGGTGATCTTCTCAAGCGCACAGACATACGAACTTATGCACTGCCTCGAAGCAATAAGGCTCTCGTTTAGGACAAAGGAGTACCTGGACCATCCTGACAAGGAACCCACCGACGAGCCCTTGATCAGAACTTTAACACAGGGTCCAGAGTCACAATCAGCGAAGAGTACTAAGGTAACAAGACCCTGTTGAATGTCCGGATAAATTATCTCAACTAGTGTAATTTTTTTCTCTTTGTAAAGTTTTATTTTTGTTTGTTTTCATACAGCGAGGGATGTGCTTGCTAATATTGAACAAATTCTAGCTAATGTCCTCGTCAACGTAATTTATTACACTGAAACACTTGAGAGAAATTGGAAATGGCGCCGTTGTCTTGCTTAATCTCGCCAGAATGATATTGAAGCGCAGGAGTAAAGGCTTGGGTTTAAAACTTTGGATATACAACGGTTTTCCCTTGATCTGATTGGCTGTTTTTCTATGGCATGGTATAAATTTTCGGTGACAGTGAAATGTGATAAATACAAATCATTGGGTTGCTTTTTGAATTTTTTTTAACTTTTTGAATCTGAACAAACACTTACCTACTGACTTTCTTTTAATTCTCAACATCCCTAACATTTTTCCGGCCAATACTTTCACCTGTCAACACCAGTTATCATCGTCAATAGTTGTTTTTCATCGTGTTTTGTCGTTTGCACTAACTTAAAAAAACGTTTCCATTTACTGACTTTCCGTAGCCGGTGTGGTTGCTCTGCGTGTGTTTCGCATCTGTTGGTAACGCCGAAATTTTAAGTATGGTAGTTATTTAGAAAGGATATGAAAAGCTTTCAATGTCAAAACTAGTTAAAATGGTCACATAACCTTGTTACTTGCTGGTCAGGGTGGTTCATTATGGAACCATGATTCTGAGGAATACTTCTGTTGTAGTAGAGAGCAAAATGTCTGACTGCTGTATGAATTCGGAAGGTAAACGTCTTTCATCGGATCTCCAACATCTACCGCCGCTGGGGAAGCGGATGGAATAACTGCGAACAGTTTGACAAGTGTTTTCATCGATTTGAGGCAACATTTTTCTCAATAATAGACCTTGTTAGCATCGACAGGTTTTTTTTTTTTTTTAAGGTCATTATCCTTGAGGTTATTTTCGCTTTCAAGTCACTCGTGGACACAATTCGAGAAATGTTATGAAGGCATGTGTGACTTCGTTTACTCGCTGATGTAAATGGAACGATATATTTTGTGATTCTCCCTGCTATTCTCTTTCTTTTTATGTTGTTTTTAAGGAGAATTACGTATAGTTATCAAGGTACTTGTACTTTGAATTTCCATTCGTTGTCTTAATCTTAGTTTTTTTTCTTAACGTCTTTGAGCGTTTCTCAGTATGTTTAAAACCCAAAAAGCTTCGACCATTCTTCTCTTTGTCGTAGACTAGAGGGGAATCACAGTAGGAAATCGTTTTAAAACGACACACGCATGTTAAAAACTTTGTGTGTCGTTTCCCTTCCTCGTGTGTGGCTACTTTAGAGACTGATGCCCCATTGTTGGGTGTTGTTCAGTTTCCGTGTGTTCAGCGTTATCGTACGTGCTATGGATATGTATATCTCCTTGGATTTCGGTCTCTACTGTCAGAACCTGTTGCCTGGGGCAATGTTTATTCTCAGGTGCGTCGCGTCAATTTAGCTGCTGAGAGAAATTTCCTTCCACGTGGTACACTCTGTCAAGAAAGTTAGGTTACAAGTCTTTTCATTGGTCGGTTTTGCTAACGAGACAAAATCTTTTTAGAGTTTTTTTCTTCTAGAGAAACTTGTAGTCAATTCGATTACCAGTTTACAATTACGGGAGACTTAGACAAATGTACTTAAATAGAAAAGTAACGGAAATGGTTTAGTGCAGGACATGACCCAACGTAACAAAACCAGTGATTGAATGTCAAAGTTGAAAAAAGGTAAAGCTGTTCAAGGGTATGATCTTGCAGAAAAAAAAAAGACAGAATTGATAGCTGCTTAAATGGGAACTGTGCCAAATTGCCTTTGCCTTTTTTTCATTTCGTGGTGGTTTTCATATTTATAATTGCCGTTACTAGCTTGTCTCTCGTTTCTGTGTGTGAGGGTTCAAGGTTTGAAGTTGCTTTAAAAGCTAAAAATGATAATAAATGGTAAATTGCCTCTTCCAAAGCTATGAAAATTTTTAAGAGATAAGAGATTTTTCGCTTTGCCAGAGGAGACCTGCAGGTGTTATTGGCAGGTGACCTAAGCTACCTTCTGTTATGTTAGTTTTAAATGTCGAAACTAGATTGGACCCCTCAGCCGAAACTGGTTTTCTTATAAAACCAAGCGGTTAGGTTTTTTTCTTCTTTTCTTTTTCTTTTTTGTATCGACAATACCTGTCTGTGAAATGGAAAACCATGGTAACCGAGTCGCCTGATGAAATTTGCAAAGACCCCATTAACAAAACCTCATGTAGGTCTTAACGTTCATCGTCGGAAAATAATAAAAAAAAGGGGAAAAAAAAAAAAGAAAGTAAACGATTTTTACATATTTATTTGCCGAGGAGCGGCAAACCTTTAAAGCTTTTGATATAGAACTCCTTTTGAAAGGCGTCGTTAACGAAACTATTCAAAAACACTTCTGAGGGACCGGCTTTTTTATTGCAGTCGATCGAAATTTTAAAACCGTGTTTATGTCGTTAAGGTAATCTTTTCTTTCCAATTCAAGCAAAGACTGAATTTAAATGATCGACGACTTTGCCGAATGCATTTCAAAGAAGCCGCCTTTCTGAAAACAGAAATAAATGTTTTATGTGTACATAGTTGTTCACAGTGAGTCGTGGGGTGGTTTTGTTCGCAGAAATGGAAAGGCGCTGCGTCTTAAACGGGCACCGAATCAAACAACGCACTGCCGCTCATGAAACTAAACTAACACCCCTCCTACGTGCCTAAAAAAACTCACTGTTCTACGAAATGGTAAAATGAAGTGAACTTAGTACATCATTATAATTTCGTGCCCGCACGTGCAGTGCCAATTGTGGTAATTATTCATGCTTTTTCCTTGTCGGAGTTTCCTTTGATGAATTATTGAGTTGGGTTCCCTGCTGTAGACCTTTACTGACTGTTGAGTTCCCACGTGCTTCTCAAGCGGAACTCGACACTGTTTTGGTAAAGGGATGGCAAATAGTAATGTAAAATGCAGCCGTTGCTTGGTATGCGAACCCAGTGTCAAGAGGATAATTTAGCGAAAACTTTAGAAATCTTTTCATAAAACCGTTGAACAGCAACTCTCCATCGGAAAAATGCCTCAGGAAATAAAGAGTTCCTTAAAAGTGAAAATTTACTCGTGTCAACTCTTGATTAAACCGAAATAATCGACGGCTTTTATACTCTAGCTTCCCTTTGGCCTACAGTTGGACTTGAATCATGATAGATTTTACTTAGCGTAGTTTTGATTTGTGTTGGTTTTCGTTTTCCTTCTCATAAGAATTATATTTTAATATTCAGACAAGAGAAGAACTGGGCTACACGCGGGTTGTTCACAGCAACATGGATATAAGTAATTTTATTGTCTGTTTTGGTGCACCCTTGCCAAAATTTGTTTCCAATTAATCTCAATCTTTACCATGAGACAAATTAAGGTAATGAATACTTGTTTCTGATCTCATGTTATAATTTTTCATTAGTTGCTTGTTTCATGTTTTGCACAATTCTTCTCGCTCGCCAAAACGAGATGGGTGTGTTTCTCTTTCATTTACATCTACATTAGATTGGGAACAAATTCCACTGGAATTATGGGTTTATCTTCAATTGTAAAATCGTGTATACGGCTTGTTTTTGTCCGCTCTTTCGTTCCAGGCATGCATTAAGTGTTTTTGGTTTTGATGGAACGTTCTAGAAGCAGAGATCGGCAGAACTCGCTGCTTGTGTGAACAGTGTACAAGTCTTTCGGTGTATTTGTCTTCTTTGTTTACATTTCTCGTGGTGTGTTTTGAAACGGACATCAAGAAGGTTTAGTGTGGGCTTATCGTTTCGAAAGGCCAACACTAAAGCTATTAAGGCGATCAAAGGCAGCGGTAAGCGACATGCTATCGAACTATGGCACGTGCTGTCGACTTTTTATAAATAGCAAACATTTTTTTCCTTGTCCTGATCTGAAAAGAATCGAAAAGCTGACAGGAATAAATGGTGTCGTCTTAAACTGAAACCTGGGTGTGATATTTTCAGAGATCTAAATTTAAATTGTTTGCGGCTTGTTTATCTTCAAACGTTTTGATGGTTCCGATAAAAGCGACCTCGGGGTGCGCCAGTATCGTCCTTCGTGATATGGCGTGCCTTCACTGATCTGTTGATTTGGCTACTCGGTCGGGGTTTGGAAACGACATTACCTCCTTGAAGTGGCTGCCACGCGTAACAAAGACGATTTAAAAAAAATATTTTCATATCGATGATAACGAGTGATTCTTCAACGCACCGCTGGCTTTTAGCTTGTAGTAAGCCATAGGAAAGAAAAGAAAAGAAAGAAAAGAGTTAAGAGAGACTTTGTTATTCCCAATGTACGTAAATCTCCTGGTGAATGTTAGAGTAAGGCGATCTGTATTTGATGAACTTTATGCTCCATTGTCTGGAGGTGCAAGCGGATTACAGTTAAGCTTGTAATAGAGTTCTCGATTTCTTTTGCATGATTTTTTTCTGTCAAGCGGCATTAGTTTCCGAGCGTCATTTTTTTTTGATTGCTCCATTCCTGTATCATATTTCGAACGCTCAATACTCACTGTAGTCGGTTGGATAAACCGGGCGTCTGATGTCAGGAGAAAGTTTGTCGGCCGGCCTCCAATACCAGCGCCAAATTCAATATTTATCTTTCTGATTTATTCTTGGTCACGAATATTTGGCTAAAAAAAGTTTGCGGTGCCTTTATTTATTTTTGTTTTCTTTCTGACGGTATATCATAGCATCCCAACTCTTGTTCGCAAGTAAATTCATGTTATATTATTTAGTATTGATGTTGGTTCTGAACATCGGAATTTGTACCCAATGGGACTTTGTCCTTTTAAAAGAAAGTACCTCACAGTTGAAGAATTTTTTCCGGGATAATTTCTCGGAGACTCTTATAACTTTCCAACGTACGTTTGCATTGAAAATTTAAAAAGATTCATAAGAGTTCGTGGGCAAATTGCAAAACTCATCTAAAAAATATTCAGCTCTAAACACTCACGAATCTTATTGTAGTCAGGGTTCTCGGCGGTTTCGTGATCGTGGGCATTTGTCTTGGGAAGCCGCCCCCCTTTTCATTTGAATCCAACATCAAGAGTCGTGGCTCAATAAAACAAAAAACTTGTTCACAAAATATTTTAGCATACCATTCGGCTTCTCCTGCCTGTTTTATAAGAGAGCTTAAGTATCACATTTACGATAGATTCTAAGTTTTTGTGTTCTAAATTTAACATAGTTTCCTTTCCTGCGAACACAAGAATTTTTACCTTTTAATCCTGACGGGTCAATTTAGTCTGGCAAAAATTAGGGGCGCTTATCAAACAAAGGTGATTTCCCAACGTCATTTTAGGTCAACAAAAATCTGGCCGACATTTCAAATTTACCTAAACGTTCCGTAATGCTTTGTAACGTCCTCTAGTCTCGTACTTCCATTCTCATTACGGAGTTCCTGTGTTTCTTGTCTCCCTCGACATTTCCAGCCGTTATTGTCATACTTTAGTCTACTTTGTGGGCAATTAATTCCCTGATCTACAGTCCTTGTAATGTTCGCTACGCTACAATGATCTTTACGTACCAAGTACTTGAGACTAAAAGGTGGATCAAAGAGAGAAAGATCGAGGTTTGGCATCAATTTCTCATGTAGATAACAGGAAATTAAAGGGGGTAAGGGGAAAAAAAAAAAACGTGATTCGTTCCATGTCTCCTCTTTGGCAGTCAGCCCGTTGGTCTGGTTCATAACAGGTTTTAAACTTGTTTTAAAGCGGCGATCTTTGTCGCAGAGTCACTGTTCGTGCTTCTCGTCAAGAAGGAAATATTGAGAACATATCAATTCTCTGACGTACAAAATCGGATGAAACCATAAAGTATTAGCTCAGTAAAAGAAAAAAACGAGAGAGGTAATATAAAACTAAAATGGTGCTGACTAAGACTGGATGACACGGATTACGATTATGCGGCGACGATCTTAGAAATTGATGGCTAAATTTATAACATGTGGATATTATAACTTACATTACTGACTGTGAAAAAATATTCCCTTGACATATTTTCCGTCGAAGTCAGACCCATGTAAACCGGAAGACCAACATAAAAAAATTCCTCATTTTGACCAGCTTTTTACAAATTTTACAGCAATCCTCCTGTCATATTTCAGCTATCACGCTTGCTTTTTATTGCTACTAGTTAGTTTTTCGCATTCCCCTCTGATTAACGTCACTTCTGGAGTGTTGTTGTACAGCGTCAAATCCTTGTTGTTTTGATCTGGTATGCAAAGGGACGTGCGGGAATTTAGCCAAAAATAGATCGATTGCTTGTTCTTTGGACGTGATCTTGGAGTAGCTTAGTCCAGATTTGTGCTGGATTATTGAAAAAAAAATCTCTCGTGTACCGCCGCTCGCATGATAAGTGTTTATTTCTGATTATACTGCGGAAGCCGGCCAAATTTGCTTTTAAGAGGGCGTGACCTGCCCTCCACGCTCTTGTTGAGAGTGTGCGGTAAGAATGAGCATTGTTTCAAGAGTCACTTCTCTAGGTTTCCTGTTTTGGTCATACTATAGTTTGTTCTGTGATTCAGTTTAAAGTACTAATATCAACTTGGAGCGTATCTTTGTCATGCCGGCCTCAACTACTTGAACTTATGAACTTAATCGGTATATTTTTGTCAGTTGCGTCAGAGTTGCAGAGCTTTGCGTGATGTTTTGGATCGCTGTTTTAACGAGATCTCTGATAGATATTGTAATGTACTCATTGAATTGGTTACAATAATACAATAACAATGTTACAAAAACACACATCGCTGTGCAATCTGAAACGTTTTGAGATAATTTCACGCGATAGTCGTTTTGGAATGTTGGTGGTGATCAGTTGTTTTAGATCAGCTTTCAAACCAGTTGTATTCCCATGTTCGTGTTTTATAGCCGTCCTCGTGCTATTACATACGCTTAAGTCAACTCAGGCTAAAAGTTCGAGATCCGTTCGGATTCAAGCAAGTTTTTTTTGTTGTTGTTGTTGTTTTTTTTTTTTGCCGTGGTCGTTTGTGATTTCTGATCATTCAAAAGAAGGTCGAATTTTCGTGCTCTTTTTGTGACAGTTTTCAGTCAAGTACGAAGAAGGTTTATCGCCTATCTACTGCGCAATATCTTTCCTTACTATTCGAACAGGAAAAAATTGACAGCAGAGATACGTCTCGTTCATGAGCGAAATTACAGATATGGGCAGTGTGAAATTTTTAAGAGTGAATTGTGAGCTAGGCAGGACACTTCAGTCTCAGAGTGCTTCTCTCGAAGAGTTTAGTGGGGTTAGGACCAGTTGTAAGGGCCAGCCATCAAACCGGATAGGCTGAGATTGGCTTGCGGTGAGGTACGTCTCATCCATTGCATGTGAGTAACAATACTCGCAAGAAATTCACGTTACTGAAGCTGCTTAACTTTATCGTATGTCGGTAACTGACGTGAAGAATTTTTTCTTCATAGGCTCAAGAAGAAGAGGAAAGGGATAAGATCGACTTGATTCGCTTGGCTCTGGCTCGTAACTTGTCTAGAACTATTTTGTGAGCTTTGCGTTCATCGGTGAAGTAGTTTAGAGAAAAGAATAACGCGTTTTGGAAACGTAGTCGAGAAAATGAAGTGCAGGTTTTTTTTTAGACCACTAGTAATAACTGAACGTACCCGGCAGTAGATTAATTTCTAAATTTGTAAGCCACGCTAAAAAGGAAGCGGTAATGTGAACAAGAGAGGAGCTTTAAACTGTCACTTTTCAGTGACGTGTTGAAAAATATGCTCCTTGAGTATGTTGTACATTAATATGTGTCCTTGCTTTATCAATAAACTGTACCTAGTTTTGATATTTCGCCTTTTCGGTTTTTGGCTGTCGATTTGCTATTGTCCCAGCTCATAAGCTACTAATCTCAATGACACCTGATCTTAAATAATTTGAAAACGGCGTCATTTTCCGCCAATAGACTCATCGTGTTTCTTGGGACTGGATGTCATTCACCTTATGCTTTCACTTCCGATTTTCACAGGAATACCAACAAACTCGTCACACAAAAATCACCTGCGTGAGTTGTTTTGGGCCATTCGTTTCTTCAAAACTTTCCCGCTGCCAAGGAAAAGGATTAGAGAAATTGAGAAGGATATTTTTTCCTTCTCTAAACAATAACTTCCTGACAGGTTTTCCAGATGCAACTTCGTAAATTTGCCATCCGATCCAGCTGAAACTTCTGCCAGTGTCAGGAAGTTCAATGAACTCACTGCTTACATGATAGAAAATCAACTGAACGGAGCTGAGCAGGAACTGGAAATAATTTCATATCTTGTTTATCATCGATTCTTAAATCAAGGCTTATGATACGATAGGATTGATCAGAAATGGAGTTATGGTGAGTTACGGTTAACGAGTTTGTGGACGATTCAGTCTTTCCTTCGTTTTAGAGGAGGATCAAAGTAATTTATTATTCATTGATGATAATTCCCTCTCGAACTTCTCTCTTCAGGCTTGCATCGCATTCGCGTATTATTACTTTTTTTACACGGCCATATGCTTGGTTAAACTTGTTCGCGAAGTAATTCAAATTGATTAAAGGGTGTTCCAACTTTACTTTCACATCCAGTTACCATTTGCAGTTCTTTGTATGTTCTCGCCTATTTAATGGAGGAACTTTGTCTGGTTAAAAGAAATGTCTTAAAAAAAACTGCTATTGCAATATCTCCTCGATTTTCAAATGTTACTTAACAAGAGTTAGGAACGTAAATTTTGATAACGATTCAGTGATAAAAGACAGGGCCAGCAGGAGGTTATTTGAACGGAGGTGAAATTTCAAGCTAGGTGAGGTGTTGACGCTAATGTTTTCTTCGTCGGTAAAAAAAAAATTAATTTCATTTACTATCAGTTTTCTTTTCAAGTGTAGGTTTTCATGTTTTAATTTTTAATTGAGCGTGGAAATTTTTTACCTTTTTCACACTTCTCTAGAAGTGGTTTATACTCTTTCAATAAGAACAATTATTTTAGAGGCATACTAGTGCTAATATTCTAAGCATTTGGCTTTTCATGGCAACTTGTTGTTGCGCTAATAAGGGGCGATTCGACACGTAAACGAAGGCTATTGCGCATGCCTTAATTATAAAGCTCTTATTTACCCCTTAGGCTCGACCTAATCATGATAATTATGCTTTTTAGGATCAGATGGACTCGTATAATTATAATTAGAGGTCTTATCAGCATTTGAAGAGCGGCCGATCGGAAAAGAAAAGCTGCGAGTGTAAGGGCTTGTTTCGGGCAAAGGCTGTTTAAACTTTGGCGGCGTGTCAAACGGCACGAAAGCACTTAAAGAGTGTCACAAGTTTGCTTTCGAGGCCGCTTATCGTCGCTTAATGAGCTTGTGGCGGTACGACCAATTCTGCATTGAATACAAAATAATAATTGCATAGAGACGCTGGCGCTCATACTCTGACTTTGAAGTCTTTGGCGCCTTAAATATCATGAAGGAGAGGACAGACTGAAAACTGATTTCTGTCTCAGTATCATTCACAATGCTACAAGACTGTTTTGTGCCGGCATGTTGCAAACATTTATCTCGTGCTTTTGCACGGGGCAATAAATAGCTAAAAAATCATCCGAAGGTTTTACGGGCTGTTCAGAGCAATCTTATGATTTAGATAAAAAGTGGCGGTATTATCCGCTTTTTAAAGGACTATCTCCCCCGTCCAGCCATTTCGCAGGGGCTTGTTATTGTTTTAGCATTTCAAATCAATAGACTTTTCGTCGCCTTTTTTACAGTTTTAATCTTCTATAAACCGCTATTATTTGCTTTATTTCCCGTAAGCCCTTGTATTGCTTTCTCACTTAAAAAGTTTCGGAGTTTCTTTTATTGGAAGATCAAGTTCTTAATGTGGTTGCCACAACCTCCAGTTTGAAATAAATCAAGAACTGTCGAAATTGGAAATAGTTTTTCTTGGGCTTAGAGCCGATTTTGTCAAAATCATCGCAATTAAAGCGGCGGCCTGCGGCTTAAATGTTTATAATCTTCAATGAGGAATAAAAGCTCCCTTCTTCTCGAGGAATTTGGGCAAAAAGAGGATTCAAGATTAAAATTAAGCAATTTTTCAACAACCATCCCTCTTTGACGGGGTTTAGACAATTCCTCGATCATGGCAACAGTTTTACTTCATCAAAATGCAGCAACTTCAAAGCACTTAGCCCTATAAAAGCTATTGATTTTCATGAACCGGCTTTGTCAATAGGCAATAGGCTGCCGGTATGGATTTAAAAGTCATTTGGAGATAGTGAATGTCAGTCCAGCTCTTTGCCATACACCGTCCATAACCATCTGTTTACATCCTGACCCTCTGCTACCAACAAAGAATCTATTGGAAATGAACAGAAATTCTCCTTCAAGCGGCGCTTCCCTGTCAAGATGTGTGTCATATATTTTGAATTAAACTGTTGAAGAATACAGTTTACTGAAGGCAAACTGAATTTTTTATATTTCGTCTTTTTATTTTTGCTTTTAAGTGAAGGAATATTTGATGTCCACAAAGTGGATGTCTAGTGTTCTTCAAACGCCGACGCTAAGCCGGATGGTGAGTGCAGTTCGCAAAATATGCCGTTTCCCCATTCTGCTATTCTTGAGTTTTAATGGAATACTGATTAAAACATTTTAACCATTTGATGAATTATCTATCACAGTCGTAATTTTAACTTTCAGATATCTTTGTAATATTATGCGCCGAACAAAAAATTTTGGCGCAGGGTCAACATGTAGTTGCTCCTCACTGTTAATGCTGAATTTTGAGACTGGATGAAATGGCAGACCTCAGTTCTAAATGTCGATGGCAACATATTACAGGGTAAATTTTAATTCCTTTCTTTATTTCGCTCTTTCTTTTTTTCTTTCTCCCTTTCTGCTTTTTTTCCCCTCTTTTTTCACCTTTGTGCTAATGTATCAAAGAAAGGAAAGGACCTTGTAGAATACGAGGAAAAAAAAAAAAAAAAAAGAAAAAAAGAGAAAAAGACGTCGAAACGCACCGGTGAAAGTTAACCAAATAACTTTTTTTCTTTCAATAGATTTTCCTCAAAGTTTTCAAACGCTTTAAATTTTCGTAAATATTTTTTTTCCTTCATCTGTTAACATATTTAAAAAGTTATTAACATCACTGAGTCAATTTAAGGAATGATTTTTAAGTTCAGTATGAAATTCTTTTGACAGTAAGAAGTGGCATTTATTTGAATATGTCCTCTCGAGTCAGTTTGGTGACAATCTGTTACAAGCGATCAAGACGTCTGTGCAAATTCCCCTTTCAAAAAGGTTTAGTCGTCATCTCCGCATCTTGTTTAAAAATCAGGCTTTGAAATTTCATGAGTTGCAAGATTTCGTTATTTAAACATTTATTTAAGTCGCAATAGTTTTTGGCCTAAAAAATTAAGTTCACCTTATTGATTCTGTAATAAGGTCGACTTTTGGAAACAGTCAGAGTACACAATTCAGTCAGGCTCCGATTTCATTTGATTAAATTTCTGAACTATTGAATTTTCCATCTGTTTCGATGAGAAAGAGTTGAAGCCGTTTTGGCCGCCCAGCTAAATCGTTCTTCTTAATTACGCCAGAGCGGCTTACTTCTTTACTCTGTGTGAACTCATTAGCCTGTGATTAGCCTTTAGAACTTCGGTTTCCCGAAATAAGATGTTTAGGTTCTGAATTGCTTAGGGTGCAACTACTGAAATTGATTACTTCTGCTATGGCTTTTATGAGCCTACGGATGATCTTCCGTGTCTGATAACATTTCCAGCGGTAAAGAAAAATACTAAGCTTACGCTAAACGCTCCTATTAAAACGACAGCGTTTTCTTTCCCTAATTAGCCTCCCTAAGTCAGAGTAATTTGTCGAAATAGCGACGGAACCCAAGCAAGTCCTTTCCCCCGCACGTTTTGTCTCAGTTCCATTCTTAACTTCCGGTTTGAAATAACGCACTTCCGGTTGCTAGGCTTCATTTGTTTTTTGGAATACTATCCACTTTTTCCCTATCGCGAAAACTTTGAACTGCATTTTTCATCAGGCAAATTGCCTGCTCTGTTAAATAGCCATTATAATCGGAAACAGACGAACCTTTGAGACTGTGAAAGTATAAGAACTCGCCGACGCCATAACTACTGTCAGCTTCAATTTTTTTCCATTCACTAAGTAATTGACACTTCGGCAATGAACAGCGGCAAGTTCAAACGCTTCTAAAATAGTCTCTCGTTATAACGTGCAAAAACTTAAGGTGGCTAATTGTGGATTTATGGCTCGAAACTTTTAATTCTTCGGAAACAAATGTCGCAGTTGAAGGTCTAACAGGCACCTCGTGTACGTTTAATAATTTTTTTCCTTCGGTTGGCTTCGAGTGTTTTAACAATGCGATTCTTCACATCCGCGCCGCCTTGCGAAATTAAATAGTTTGCGTTGGTATCAGTACAGACAGGAAAACTAACACATTTACTTTCGGCCGTGAATTCAGTTTCCTTGCCACGAAATCGCACTATATTTAGTGACACTCCAGTTATTTATTTGCCTGCAGAGGGAATTCCTTGTGGCTTTCAATTCCACGCTTCCCTTCTGCGTGACCCGGCGGACGAATTACAATATTTCCAAAGACGTCAAGAAAAATCACTTGGCAATCAAAAATGCCCAGCATGTTCATTTGAAGGTCGTTATTTTAAGCCGGGTTTCTTTTACAAAATTCCCAAACAACGCCACGAGAATATCATTTGGTGGGGTACATGTAAACTAGCCTTAAACCTGGTACGATCGCGAAAATGTTTTCTTTTCGTTCTCCTACCACAGGTACTTCATTGGGTCGAACGTGTCAAAACGCGAGAAACAGGGATGATAAGGGAACATAACTTTTTCTCATCAAAAGAACCGGTCATACATAAAAGGGAACCGCCAAGGCGCTGCTGTTCCGTGTAATATTAAAATTTTTGTCCCTGCTACTCGAGATAACTTAGGTCACAAAGAGCGGTTTTTAGTTTCTGAAAAGTAAGGCAAGCAAATTTTAAGCAATGTTTGTCTACCTCTCCGTTATAATCAACTTTTTACTCGTAAATTACTCTAGCAAACACTCTCTAGCGACACAAAAAGCGATCCGAAAGGACAAATAATTACTACTGCTATCGATAAGTTGGGGTCTCTCTCGGTCTTTAACTTAATTTCGACTAAGCTCGGTAAGAAAAGATGCCGCTTTAGCTTACAAGGGCGACCATTGCAGAAAAATATTATCCAGTAATTCAGGCAATAATGTGTTAACTGAATTGCATGGGCCCCGACACTTCATCAAATAAAAAAAATTTCATTAGCAGATATTTTGAATAAGAATGCCAGAGATTTCAGAAAGCGGCCGGCAGAATAAGTGGCTGAAGATACTGAACAATATTTACCCTGTTTATAAGGGTTAAAAAGCGACGAAAAGGGGCCAAAAAGATCTAAACTTCGCGTGTTCAAGCTCTACGATGTAGCCATTTTGAAAAGTATGGCATGAATGCTGATTAAAAATTACAAACAAATTTCCCCGCCGACCAAACAATCACCAGAACTCACTTGTCGAATTTGATTGACATTGATATCCTTTTGACTTGCCGCTCTTTGCTTATCCAAGATTGGTAATGAGAGCATTTAATTCATTTTGTGGTTAAGACGATTCACCGCGCTAAATCTTCATTTAGCACGGAACACAATGGCTCAGAGTGAATATGCGGCCCAACAAGTTCGCGAGATGGCCATAAAAGAACCGCCTTATAGCCAGATCGGTCCCGACTCGTTGGGTTTTCAGTACCTCTCATTGCAAAGCAATCAGAAAAGATTCAACCAGCTGCGCTTAATTAAACCCATCGTCAACATGTGTGAAGTTGGCATGAAGCACGTGCTATCACCCGGGGCACCAAAACGCGTCTTCTGATTGGTGCGGTCTCTTAGCCCGTTGTGACGTTCTCTCCCGAGGGATTGATCGTTTGTGTGCCGCCTTTTGCTGAGCGGCATCTTTTGAAGTAGTTTTGCAAGCCCACCGCACTTGAAAACACTTAGAAGTAAATGCGGAGCGCTGTAGAGAGCTGCGAAACCATTCTCGCGCTAGAAACCTTTCAAGATCAATACCTTTACGGCAAAATCCTCGATCGTGTGGCCATATTTTGTTCAGGTTTTTTCAGCGATCGGCTGCTAGGGACATTCTGAGCAGTTCAACGGAGCGTCGCGAGTGATATATGTATTTGAATATTTGCTTTGGGGGCTCAGCGCGGCGTACTTTTGATCTCTGCGAGGCATTCTCTTAGAAAGATCCGACGAACGACTGTAAAGCAGGTTGTGCGCTCATCTCGGCTGAATGCGGTCTGCAGTCTTCCGCGATTCTTAGCGATGGATTCGGAGCAAATGCTCGCCAGAGACCCTAGAAAGGTTTATTATGGTCTTAAAGAATCACAACAGAAATCTACCACACGTGAAATATTACAGGCGCGATCATCAGCGGCAGACTGCCCCACAACTATGCGGCCCCCTCCAACCGGCGAAGATTCGAACGACAGTGAGCGTTCCAAAGGAAAATCAGTGGCTTCTTTGAAGTCAGATTCGTTTGTTTCTAGTCCTATAATGACAGCGAGAAGGGTTTCCAAAAAGGAATCGACTACTACGCAAGGTTATTCAGGACTGGAATCAGACGAAGAGAAACTTGCGCCGTTGGGTTATGAACCGGAGGGTAGCGCTGCCTCTACTCCTCAATGCGAGCGATGGCCCACCTCTTTGAACGATATGCTTATGGATTGCCAAGGATTTAACTCATTTTATCAGTTTCTAAAGCAGGAGAATTCCGAAATTCTCCTAGATTTCTGGCGAGCGTCCGAGTCTTTCAAGCGAATGACACCGATTTCTCATGAGATGCGGACGACCGCCAAAGCGATTTTCCAGAAGTTTATTTTCCCTGAGAATGCTTTAGAAGTCAGCAACACAACGAGAACGAAAATTGCGCAGCATGTTAACGATCAGCCTATGGATTGTGGACTGTTTGAGGAGGCTTTATCCGAAATAATGGTGAATTTGAAAAATAATCATTACCCGAGGTTTTTGAACACAACTTTCTATAAGGAGTGCATTCAGAGCGGCGGTGAAAGCCCACAAGGGATCTGTGAACGCTTTACACATACGGCCAGATTTCACGGTGGATATTTACCGCCTCTTCCGGAGGAAAAAGTTTTAGGATTTGACGAGATTGAGGATGATGGAGTCCAATTTGAATTTGAGCAACATCACAATAGTGCGAAGGGATTGCCTTATTGTGCGAAGAGATCGGGTTCCGATGAACACAATGCGCGGTAAGTTACTCGCTCAACTCCAACCATAACAGACCGCTTTTTCGTTTGGAGCGTTCTTGCAATTACTTTGTTGGATTTCTACACTTGAAATACCTCATTGAGTTGCCTGACAGCTCTAGTGCATAGTTATCAGCGGCAATTTACATTCAATGTTTTCGGAAGGCGATTGGGCCGTCGTTAAGCAATGTTATTGCAATTTAGTTTTTGTTGTTTTCAAACGATAATCTTACCGACTTTGTAGTTAATGAAAGCGGCCAAGTGGAGGGAATTTATTTTCGGTGCCGCGATTGAGATTATAGCTAAAATTGTCAAGATCGCTAATAGAAAGGGATATTGCATCTCTTGTCAAGCATTTGATTTAGCTTTTGAAAAGGCAAAGTTTATATTAGAACTTTGTCAAGTTCTCGTGCAGCGAACATTTCAATAGTAACTGAATGTTATGCTGCACGCCCGGCTAATTGAACCAATTTTTAATTTCTAAGGAATCTATACATTGTTATCGGAAGTGCTAAGAATTTCATAGCTTGTGAAGCAGTGCTTGGTATTTATATTTGAATTGTTTTGGATTCAGAGTTTGGACTAAAGCAAGTGGCCGGTTGCGGTGCCAATTCAAATGTGCGAGTGATATTATTTAAGTTGTTTGACCCCAGATAAAATTAGAAGTCGTCAAATCGACTAGAGTAATTGTCATTCTCTTGAATCGAATCTCATTGTATTTCTTCCGAGCTCAATGGTTTGTACGCTCCAGCGAATGACTCGCGCTGCTTAAGAAAACACAAGTGATTGATCAACAAACTTCGGAGTCCATTCGACAGCACTTTGTTTTGTGTAACAAATGACATTTTCAGTTTAGGCGAGGCTTTAGGATATCCCTTGAAATGATCGCTTCAAAATCTGTTAAATCCATCAAGTGTTCCATCGTGATCAAATCTTTTCCAAGGGAAACATGCGCCACGATTCTTCTCCTAGTTTTTAGTCAGTGTCTTAAAGTATTTCTCATTCTGTGCTAGTAAACATGTTACTTGTGTATTCTGTTATTTGGTCAGAAGTACTTGTAATTTTGAGAGGGTGTGAATTCTTGTGCAGCAATTTCCAGCGGTGCACAGACACTCGAGAAGAGGTATCGGGTTAATGAAACTTGAAGAAATTTGATTTAGCGAGTTGATTGCTGTTTCTCGTGCAAGACTTGTCTGTTGTGGCATTTGATTTCATATCGATGTCATATATTCCTCTTGCTGTTTATTGCATTTCAAATTTATGAATTCCAGCGTACATCTGAAAGAAAGGTTAATGAGCTTCCCATAAATCCTTTGCATTAAAATGGCAAACTCAGTCTATGCAAACATGCATAAACATTTGCTTTTTAGCTGTCAAAGAATGCTAAGAAATATTCACAAAACGTGTCAACTTTGATCTTTATACATTCTAGAACCAATCAGTATGTTCAAAGTTGATCTGAGGGTGTATAATGGAGTAAAACAGAGTATGGCATTGAAATAGTTGTAAAGGTGCCATTTAGCAGGTTTCCGTATTTCATGAACTGAAGCACAAGTACCTTTGAAGCATATTTAATTGCAATTACTGTTTACAAAGTCTTGTCTTTTTATTTTGTACTTTCAAAGAAGTTGTTTCTGTTCTTGAGATTCACCAGAGCATGACCACAGATCTTAAGAAGGATGTTTTTGTTCCCAAAGGGTCAACAAGTTCGCTGTGTTCTTGATTTGTCTCTCTTTTGTTTTTCACTCTTTTTGCATTCTTGAATTTTAGTACTTTCCTAAGAGCTGCTCTTTAAGCACTTGCAATTGAGTAGGTTTATGGATTGGTTTTGTTCAAAATCTAGGATAATCATACTGCCTTACCTTCATGACACCTCTCATATGAAAGCCGGTGCTTTAAATGCCAAAGCAGTGTAGTTGCTGAGCAGGAATTTGCATGTGGGTCTTTTTAAAATAATCACTTTTTGGCTTAAGAGCACTCTCGATATGTCATTTATAACTTTTAATGCCAATTGAACATTTAAATATGCCTTATTGAACATTTAAATATGCCCTATTGAACATTTAAATATGCAGCTTTTGTATTCCAATTTATTGTTCTGTGTAGAAATTGTACAGTTCATAGTTTTGTTTTTGTGTCGTGTGACTATGCAGTATCTTTTGATTTATGCAAGCTAGCCTGAGGGCAATAAGTAGGAACTACTCCTTCATTGAAGTCTGACTTTTCTTCAGGGTGTTCAACCTTTAATCAGAAAGTTATGTGTTTTGTTTTGGGACATGACAACTTCACAATTTTTCTTACTTTGTTATTTTTACGGTTGTGGAAATGCTGCTTCTTCTTCTATTTATCATATTTCTGTAAAATGAAAGGAGAAGAGTCCTGTGACAGTTTCAGGTCAAAATCTTGTAAGATTTCTGTGCTGGAAATTGTTTATGCAAAGCTTTTCAGCACTTAACAGATAGTTCAAATAATGATGTATATATATATATAGTTCTGTAAATATTGAATTTGCTTTTCTTTTCTCAATGTGACGTAGATACCTTAGATTTCAGTGCAAAAGTCCATTTGATTTAGGACAAAAAATTGCGAAGTAAAAATTTTTAGACAAGTGGTCAGAGCGCAAGTATTAGTTGGATGTTCTTTAATTTTGATTATTTCTACCCCAATGTCAAGTGTTTTAGATTTTTTTTTAACCCCACAAACAAGGTAAAGTGTTTTGAATGCTTATTGAATAGATCCATGTATTGTGTTTTGAAGCAAATTACTTAGTTTACTACTCATGTTGTACTCAGCTTCCAGTCATGTTAACCCTTTAACTCCCTAGATCTGATGGTCAATTCTCCCCTCTGGCTACTACACATTTTATTGTAAATTAATAACAAGAATTTGTGTCCAATCAAGGTAATAAATTGAACCTGATGGGTTTGAGTATTCTCACTACCTGTTTGCTGTAAATGTACGGATACTATTGGGAGAAGTTACAAGCTAATCAGTTCTGGGAATTTAGGGGTGAAAGTTCAAGGGACTATGGGTACTTCAGGTTATGTCTTTGAATAAATTATTTACTGTTTATGCTTTGATATCCACAGGTGTTTATTAAATGTTCCCATGAATAAATTATTGTCACCATACCACTGCCCAACAGCACCTGTGGGATCGAGAATTGAATCAGAAAACCAGAGTCTATCAAGCGATGCTATGACAGAAGATACCCTCTCAGTGACAACTGATAGTTGTTTGACTGAGTAAGTCAATTATTTCATATTTGCATTTTAAGCCTTCACATCCTAAAATCAGTATCCATATTCTCCATAACAAGGTAATAGAGTATTGACAACTGAGTTGATAATGTAAATTGACCACCATAAAGAGTTTAAAAGCCTTAGAACTCTTAAGGGTGGCTAATTAACGTTATTAACCTAGCTGATAATACTAAATTACCCTGTTATACTCTCCCACTGACACAGCAGCATAGTTTCTTTAGAGATTTCCCCCCCTTATTCATATTCTCTCTACTATTCTTCATTCATTTCCTTGGTACCTAGAAAGGAGAATTCATGAACCAATCAAAACTTCTTAGGTTGGTTATTGTTTCTTTTAGTGTCATGATTTGATGCATGCAGGAATGAAAAGGTCATTTTTTTCTCCTGGTCTTGAATTCTTTTATACTTCAAAGTGCTATTCTTCATGTTATTTCTTTCATCAATTGTTTTCAGCGATACATCATCCAGATGTAGTGGCCGAAGGAAGTGCTCAGCACGTAGTAAGAAATTTGGCTTTCATGATAGTCTTCCGATGATGCAATTTGTTCCGGTAAGTAATTATGTAACTTTTTTTGTTTCTGGGTGCACATGGAAGTACATCAGAAAAAGTCCTCTGGGTGGTCAAATGGTGATAAATTGATCATGATCAATTAATTTGTTTACTTCTGTCTTGTAAATATATGCATTCAAAATTACTGACTGACTTTGTTGTTTCTTGAATGAGAGTGAAAAGTAATTAACAAAGGGAAGCCCTTTCAGTGATCATGTTTTAAGAAGTATTGCATTGTAGCCTCTTATTTTGTTATGTCCTTATTGTAATGCTTGACCAAACATTTGCATGTCAATGGACCAATACAAAAACAGCATTATATGAATGAGAAAAAGATACTGGGGAATTGTTGGAATGGTGTTCACTTAAGTAACTCCTTTGATTTACTCTTAACTCCATGTTATGCAACTGGTCAGATTGACAAATATTTGTTCCTTGGTTTGTGTTGTTCCTGGTATTACAATCTTTTGTCTTGAATAACAAAAGGCACCTCAACATTAAAAATATATAAATGAACAAATAATGAAATGATTAGTGACTAAAGAAAGAAATGTTGGGGGAAAAAAGTGGATGGGGCTAAAACCCATACTATACTTCCCAGACAGTAGTTAGGTGCCTATCTTAATTTTTTTGTAAGTAAACATGTTCCAACTTGTGTTAAGGTTGAATGTTCTTGGCACAAAGCCCATTCATTCTTGTAAGAAATGATAACCATTTGAGAGATGGAACTTTGTGAAACAAAGTCTTGCAGTGGTCCATGTATTTGGTTATGCAAAAAAATTGTGCTATGGTGAATGATTAATAGCAGTAATGATTGGACTCTACTTATTTCTTCAGCGTACCCAGAGAATTCCTAAAGAGGTTTGTAATGCAACCAAAAATCCGGAAGAATTTGCCAAAATATTGATTGAAAGACTAGAGAAAGTCAAGATTCAGAGAGAACAAGGTGAAAGGGAAGCTCACAACTTGGCAATTCACTGTGAGGTATGATTGAATGTCACTGTGTTACATGAAATTAGATTTTTTATCGTGTGTTTGGTACAAATTTAAAGATTTTGCCAATCGCAGAAAATCAGAATGGATGAAACCCGAATGCTTAAGATAGCTCTCTTCAAATTGCACATTAATTTAATAGTGTGTAGTACAACTGTAGCAAATTGTGGTATTATGATGAACAAATATTCATTGCCTCATGGCTGTTGTGTGTAATGAGAACAAGAGCAATTCTATGTTGTCTTATGCAATTGTTACATTGTTTTAGGCACCAAGAAAGTCAATTCTCCAACAAGCAATTGACAACACAGAGAACAAGAAAAAACTCTACCTTACCACCATGGCCAAGGAAGCTGTGGCTTCTTTCAAGGAACCTTATTATAATGACAAGCCTGTAGCTGGAGAGGAAACTGCTGCTGCTCCCACTGCCTCAGCACCTGTAGCTGTTGATACATACAGACTGCAAGTTGAACCACAACAAATTCAGCAGTCTAAGCAACCTTGTTCAGAGAAGAAAGAAGCAGTGATTGAACCCCAATCAAGTGAGCCAGCTGTTAGAGATGGTAGTGAGTGGGAAGCTCGTCCCCAACGCAGGGATGATGACATTCCTTTCCTAACTGTTAATCATCATCGCATTATACAATGGATGGAGGAAGGGGAACAGGCTCAGCAGGGCTCAAAAGAGTCTAAGTCCCATCGCCATCATTCTCCCTCCTCAAGAAACAGTTCGAGGGGTAAGCAGTCGACCACGTCTTCAACTAGACATTCAGAGAAGAATCCACCCCTGCATTTACCTGGACAACCCATTGCCTCCGATCTCATGATGCCTCTTCTTCCAGCACCTCATGCATCATCTGTTTTGGAAGAAACTAGAAAGAGATTAATTGATGTGGCGAAAGAGGGGGAGAGGCGATCTAAGAATCATGCAAAGCAAAGGTAGGCATGAAACCAAACTGTGATTTCAACTGTTTACATTTATGAATTTTTATGTTTTTGGTTCCTCACCCCCACCCCACCCCCACAAATCTATACACGAGGGGACTTTTTGGGGGGGGAGGGGGGGGTTTCCCTTGACAGTTGATTGATACCCATGTATATGTCTGGTAGGAGAGAGGTGAGGCATTTGAGTTCAGTGTCTTTCCCATGAACACAACTCAAAAATCAGACCAGCGTTTGAACGTTATTACCATCACACAACAGCGTATCTCCCACTGTTAACAAATGCAAGTATTGAGTAAATTTTAAAAAACCGAAGTTCAGGCCTTCAACTTATTGTTGTTGGAAGTGCATCTACCTGAATTAAGTGTAGTGTGTAGAGATCTCCTCTACCTTCTGTTTTTATTGAACACAATTCAAATTTATTTCATGTAGGTTTCAAGCAGGATCAGATTTTGAAACCACATCCTGCAGAGAAAAAACAAGTGCATCATTATGTTGGTCTGCCAAAGACTCCTCCAGTTATGGGCAGTCTCCAAGTTTTCCACATGAAAGACATTACAAGGCTGCATCATCTGTGACTGGGAAATCATCTGTATCACAGGCTGATTCTATAAGTACATGTAAGGACAGTGGATTTTGTGGATCAGTGTTGAAAAAGAAGGATAAACATGGTTCATTAATAATCACTTACTACTTATGGGGAGAACCCATTCCTTATCGAACTTCACTTCCTGAAAAATCTGTGACACTTGGACAATTTAAAACTTTGTTACCACCAAGGAAAGGAATTTACAGGTAAGGTGAATCCCTCAAAGGCTCATGTTCCCTAATCTTTTCACTCTCAGCAGTGACCAAAACTGAACTTCTCCTTACAATATTTGTACATTTTTTAAGTAGATAGGTAAAGAGAGGTAAGAAAAATATCAACTAGGGGATATTCTTTGATTAAACAAAAAGTTCTCTGATCTAAAATCATAAGAAATGTATAGCACAGTTTGGAGAATTATATTTAAATTTTGGGTGTAAAGGGTCAGGTCTACTGAATGCGACACTTGTGGCACATATTCTCATCTGCTGTGAATTGTTGGAAATGAAAGTGAGTTGGCCACAGAGTAAAGTAAACTGAGAGCCTGGTATAGGCAAGGTTTTTGCATTTGCCAGCTAGAAAACACTGAACTTGTTCATCATCTATCAGTATCTTTGAAAAGAAATGGGCAAACAGACTAGAATTCAGGTCTTTGAAACATCAGCAGCATATTTTTGATTGATTCTCTGAGGATAGTTTGATGGAGGTTACATCTGATTCACTTATTTTACCTCTAAAACTGATCACTTTAAAGTGTACTTTGAGAAAATTAGCTTTTGACATGGTGTACGCCTCAAGTGCAGGAGAGAACTTGCTCAAAATTGCTGTAGAGTGCAAGTGAATTTTTCAAACTCTGGAAAATTGGAACAAAATTCATACAATTTCTAGCAAGAGGCAGCATTTTTTCTCCCACACCTTGTTACTTAGGAAACCTGTGGTTGTGTTGTTGACCATTGTGTTGTTTGGTTCTATTGGTGCTTTGTGCTTGGTCAAATGTGTCATTTCTTTCAAGAAAGTCAATGTGTGATCCCATGAGCCATTTTAATGTATCTGAAACAATGAAAGAGTGATCTTACCTCACGATGTTTTTTGTAAACTGAATTTAGATTACCTTTTCCTCTTTGCAGATTCTTTTTTAAAAGTATGACAAAAGACAATGACTGTCTTGTCGTTTGGGAAGAAGTTAAAGATGACAGCACTGTTTTACCTACATATGATGGAAAAGTCGTGGGCAAAGTAGAACGAGTGAACCCTTAAATGCTCAAAAATTCTTACCGTTTTTAATAGAGAAATTGTACTTTTAATACTGAATGTTTTATATTCAGAAATGATTTTTAAATATTATAAAAGAATAAAGGGCTAGCTACCCCCTCGGAGTGCCAGAGAATTGGCGTTTCGTTTGTATATAGACGTATAATATATTTGTAAATTCTATGTTAATGTTGTATAATTTTATGGTTACCAAGATTAAAATATTATTTTCTATAAAGAGTTGGCTTGTTTGGTGTGTTTATTTGCTTGGTTTTAGTCCCTGGAAGAAGTAAGAGAATCGAAAACCATGTTAAGGGTTCTAGCGGGTGTGTAGGTTTTTCAAACCTTCTACCGTCGACGCTTACTGGTACTTGGTACTTAGCGATTAGGCAGGTAATAAGAGTCGAGAGAAATACAAATTGCGGGATTTTGTTTACATATGACTCCAGATTTTCAAGAGAAATCAACATAATGTGTTTCATCCAACGGGGATTATAGCTTCAAGATTTTGAGAGAGAACTGGTTACAGGAAGCCCCTTGATTCCACGAGATTGGACTGTGCATCGATGTTAGGGTGGCTTAAATCGGTTGTGTAATTTTTAAGCACCACTTTGATATGCCAAACTACGAAACTCCTTTGTCTTCACTGAATTGGTAACAAAGAAAGCCTCATTTATTTTTCAACTTAGTTATCATAGCAACAACACATCCACTCTAAAACGCACTGTATTTTACCTTGTAAGTGCCTTAATTTCAAAAGGCATTTAACAGACCCTCATTTTTTATCAGTAAGTTGAGGTTGGCATCTCCATCTCACTACCAAGTTCAAGAACTTTATGCCGCAAGCGCATGGTGACCTTAAAATTATCGCTTGACTCTAATGCCGGGATGGAATATTTCGAGTCCACGCTCCCTCTTTACAAACCTTTTCAATTATGAGGGTAGGACGTTGTGAACGTCTTTGCTCAGGATATCACGGCCAATGAGAATCTACGATCGGTATTCCGAGTACTAGCCATTTGGTTATCAGGAGTTGCTTATCTTTGCTTGCGAAGTCTCAGCTTAATCAAATGCTCTCTGTAATATCTCCTTGATACCATTAAGAAAAGACACCCCACATTCCCTTGAGATATAGTTGAAGAGGGGAGGCACATTTGCATTTATCATCACCGTCTGGTTCAAAGAGTTTGTTTCATCCTATTTTTTTATCGCTTTGGCTTCCACGCACACCCTATGGACGTTTGACGACCCTCCCACTCCCCTCCAGTGATGCCTCACAGGTTGCCAAGGCTCCCACTCCTTCTCGACCCTTTTTCTCGCCTCTGTCCAAATCTTAACTCTACCTAAGGTACCTGGAAGTTTAGGCTTTTGGTAATGAGTTATCACGGGTAAATTCTCGATTACAGTAAGAACGGAAGAGGAAGTACGAACACACTCAACTCAGAATGAGGCGCACTTGCCAAGAGCTTACTACCGCACTAGTGAAATATCTGACCAACTCGAGCAATAGTATACCTCTCAACTTTATTTTGCAGCCTTAAAGCGAACACGAAAATTATCCTCTTTCTGGTTTAAAACGGCCAACCAAGTGACAAGTAATTGACATTACTAATTATTATTTGCTCAAAAGTTATTCCTTGAGTCCAAATTGTGTTTTAAACACCTGCAATACGATGAGAAACTTAGCCGGAAAAAATAGCAGTATAGAACAAGAACTCCATGATCATTTTGAGATTTCACTTGAGCAGAGGATTAAAATACTACTATGACTCCAGTGAGGACTAAGGACAGGAAAACGTAATAACCGAGTTCTGTATCTTTTTGCTTTTGAATATCACTTTCTTTATTTCCCGATCATTTCTGCGGCGCAAGGTAGGCTGTTTAGCGGGAAACCCGCGTGGAAGAGTAAGACTGGCGCACAGTGTGCGAAAGAAATCCAATATGGCGGCCCACAAACAGTCAGAGTTGCATATGAAGGGCTGTAGAAGTTGTCAGAACGTTTTACTGAAGTCGCATTTTCTTTCTCAAACGAAAGGTAAGAAATGCACGTTTATTTACACAACTGCATAAGAAATTTGGTTGAACAAACACCCTATATCCTTAGATTAAAAAACTTTACAATTTTGAATTACCATCTCATTTTTACCATATATCTTTCTATTTTCGTGACAGTTGATGATATAACGGCTGAGCGTCTTAAACTGTGAAGTTATGAGTACTATGAAAATGAATTACTATCGTTGCTATTATAACTGTCTTCATCAGGCAGTTGTATTATCAATATGATGAGAAGTGTCTTCTTTACACTGATATTCCAAACAATACACTTCTTGCGTGAAGTGAAGGTAAACACAGCCCCATGAGAAGCAGCGTACGGTCTGAAAGCATGAATAGGAATGAACTTTGTATACTTGTCTCCAACATCCCTGGATGTCACTGCACCAACTTACGTCCCCGTCAGTAACGATGCTTTTTCCACCAGGGCACAAAACAGAGACACCAATGGGAGGAAATTCTGAACTGCGACGAGTGCGATGTTTTGTTCCTGTTGAAAAGTGAAAAAGCAACAATGTATGATTAAATGAAATAAAGTTTTGAGCTTGGTAAAGAAATAGAGAATGATGTTTTTTTTTGTCTTGTCAGGAGCGTGGAACAAAGAAAAAATTTTTAGTTCCTCTTGAGAAATCAGAATTTTTTCTTTGCCTCACGCGTGTGACAAGACGAAAATATCTTTCTCCGATGTAGGATTAGTTTGGTCGTATTATCATTAGTTGAGAAGCTTTTTATTTAAGACTGGTTTTTTATTATTTAAAAATGATGAGATATATTGGAGGAATACTTGTGAATTCCTGGGCACAATTACTTGCACGGAAAATCCGAAAATCGTAACTGTATAAGTATTCACTTAATTACAGAGAAGAAGTTTGATATAAATCTTTGCAAAATTTGTCTTCGTTTAAGCTGGATGGTTTAAAAAGTACTTTCTAGCTTTCTGTCTTCGATATTCTTGCCACAGTCGGTTTTATCCTTTGTTAAATTAGTTTCGAATAATGAAATTCAATTTTGGAGGTTGCTATTGGCAGACTTTCATTGTCGAAATGTTTGTTCAGCGAAAATCCCATATGTAACTTAATAATGCTTATCTTACCTTTTGTATGAATCGTAGTAGAAGTCTCGGAGTCGTCCAAGAATTTGACCTGGTATATGGGGTATTCTGAACAAAAGTTTGCCAACTCCTCGCTCAGCACAGACCGATCGGTAATCTCATTATCCACTGTCCATTTGCTATCAATCGTTTTCGTCCTGTCGTCGACCAACCCCTGCAATTAGATGATATATTTAAGTAGATTCAAAGCGGCGAGAAACCTTTTACCGCGTGAAGGCCATTGTGGCGTTCTGTAACTCATATTTCGTAAAATGGCATAACAAAGGAATCATAAAAGACTCTTGAATGCAGTGGATTCCTTGCAAAGCTAGCTAGGAGGGGAAAATTTTTAACAATATCTGTATTTTCCATGAATTCCAATTCTCTGAATTTTTTTGCTAAAGGGACAAATAGTAAAGAGTACCCAACCAATTCTCGGAAATGCATTATGAAGATTTATCCTAAGGGTAGCAATCGTAACGAGGGTCGCAAAGAATGACCAGCAGTGAAGAACCAATCAGTTATCGGCATTCCGTCATAATAAATGAAGACGGTGAGTGCCATACCCTTAAGAGAGTTGAAAGGAAGATTGTGATCGAATAATCCGAAGATTGCGAGTTTGAAATTACACCGGTGCATAATTTTTTCAAAAGGGAATGTGCCCTCACCTTGGTCTGATCAAGATCCCTTCCGAGTTTTGTTGGCGTAGGCATCTCTGCTGACAGTGGCATATAATAACAGATCTTTTTACCGGGTAACATCAGCATGCTCATATTCTGTTTTCACGAGAAAAGATACTTAGTTGTAGGAAGTCAAATGCCACTTAGTCCTTTGTCTCGAAGTTACACTGAAGTATAAATCGTTAGACAGAATGGACATTTCCATTCTGGTGGTGGGGACTGATCATTTTTAGTTTCAGTTACTCTTGTTAACACAAGGAATAATTAAATGATGACGACTTAATCATACGCGTTAGCTCATAATTACCCGAGAAATATGTTCGATAACAATAACTTGTTGACTGATTAAAAGCGACGTAAAAAAATAATCGGCACCAGGTCATGACCTAGGGGCCGAGTATATTGCTAGTCTTTCTCTTTCGTCCTTTCTTCTTTCAACTCGCAACCGCGAGGACAAACGTTTTTTTTTCTGGACCGCTGCCCCGTTCGACCCTCATACGGGGATCTTTAAAATCTTTAACCCTTTAACTCCCGTGAGTGACCAAGACAGAATTTATCCTTACTATATCTATACAATATCATGCAGACAAGTGATAAAGATAAAGGAAAATGTTAATTCTGGGATAACTAATTGATCCGATACCAAATTCTCCAAACTAACATGATAAGAATCATTTGGCAGACAGTTAGGAGAATTATTTATGCGATCTTGGGAGTTAAAGGGTTTAACAAGTCACTGTATTGCTATAAGTTTGTTTTAGCTTAGCTTACAATGTGTTTGCCAAGACTTTCTAACTCGAGCTTTCAGCGGGTTGTCCAAATTTGACTGGGGATTTAATGAAACCTCGTGTATTTACTCAGATTCAATACACCCTTAAAAATTCACAATAACCTTTGACAGACTTACCGCCTTGAAGTCGTACAAAATATTGCTTTGGTCCACGTTATTATGGGCAGGAACTTTAAAAAGTTCAGTTTGCTTCTCGGTGTCCACTTTGATTGTCTCGTCGTACTGTGCCCCAGATTCGTTGATATGAACTTTGTAATCCACAACCTGTGATACCGTAAATATACAAAGTGTCTTGTTTATAGTTCACTTTTTTTTTAAAATGTGCATAATATTGGCCGTACAGTTTGCAACGTTAGCACGCATCGCCTGTGCACTGCACTCGCTTCAGTTTAAAATTTTAAGCTAACCCCCCTATCCTCAAAAAAATGTATTGATTACAGTTGATTGCCGAGTTACTGAGATCGGTATAGTGCAGTACATACATTTTTAACGAAATGTGCAGCCTTAAAAGATATTTTGAGGCGCACTAGTTATCTTTTTTCGAAAAAATATCCCTGTGAGTGAATAGGAACTTTTGGTCAGTGAGGTCATCGGC